AGACAGAGGACAGCCCTTTCAAGGGCCAAGTTGAGCCCTCCAGTACACAGCTGCCCACACAACTGCCTTCTGGGTTTTACTGTGGGAAAAAGCCAGCTCCGATGAAGGTCAAGTTAGCAGCAATGAGAGCCATGTGCAGCGCCTCTCAAATACCTTGTTGAATCCTCACTGACACCCGAGGAGGCCGCCTCCCTCAGGAGCTGCACCCTCTGCCCCATTGTGTGGGCTCCTGGTGACAGCTGCGGCCCAGTAGCTTCCAAGCAGCACCCAAGAAAGCACGGCTGTCAGGATGCGTGTCACAGCGCACCTAGGGGGATCCAGCTGGCCGCTTCGCTGAGCAAACCGGAGGAACTCAGGGAACCACCAAAGATGAAACAGAGTTACAAGGACTGAAGGGAAGGGCTCAAGGAGAGGCGCGAACTGAACAGGGGTTAGGACAGGAATGTGTACCACAGCTGAGCTGTAAGAGTTAGGTGATCTTTATGAGGAGCTCGGTCTGCAAACCTGGGAAGCCGGCCCCTTGTGTAGGTATGTATGGGTTTCGTCCTGGAACAACACGGCACCTCGAGGACTGGGGTCCCTTTCAGTTAGTTACTGGTAGCAGCAGGATTTCGCCATCAAGCAGACTCCTTCTCTCGTAGGACTAGGAAGTGAGGCTCTGAACCACAACCCCGGTGTGAGCTCCCCAGTGGGGTTTACCCTTCCTCACCTTTAGACCCATGTTCTACCTTCCTAAGAAGTGGAGAAACCCGCAGCGTGCAGGTGTTGAGCAACAGAGTTAATGGTTGGCGCGTGGAGATTTTAGACACCCTAAAATTGTCTATTTTCCTGTCTTTATTACCATTTCTGTGTAACTTTACTGTTACCTTTTATGTCAACACAAAGAACACCTTACTAAGATGCATCAGAACCACAGGGACCTCAGATACAGTGGACCCCTGACTTATGGACTCAATTCGTTCCCGAGGACTGGTTGTAACTCAGGTTGGTCAGTCCCCCTCAGAATCTCTCCCCTATATAACTTTAGGCCACACTTTCTTCCAGGCAGACCTCAGCATCCAGGATTTCAATTAACCCCACACAGGAAAGGATGCCGTCATGTTCCTTCCAGAACTCTATAAGGGTTAAATCTGTATCTGAGACCATCTGGAAGCACAAGTGGCCAGCATTTGGGTTGTAACTCAAGGCTTTGGTTGGTCATTAAGTTAAAGCTAAAATTCTGGTCATAACTCAAGTTGTTCATAGGTCAGGCTGGTTGTAACTGGAGGGCCCACTGTATTTGGGAAGTGTCAAGTAAAAATGTGCTAAATAAAATGATATGCTTTCATAAAAGATGGCATCTCAGAAAATGCAAGGAATAAAGTTTTCTCAGTTTGAGTGACTTGATCTCTGTTGAAATATTTGCCTCAGAATGAGCAGGAGGCTGAGTTCATGATTAGAGCTAGAATGCTTTCTTTTCATTATCGATGCCAAAAATGTAACTTGGAAAGAAATGAACTTACTGTCAGAAATCTACCCTATGTGCAGTAATATCTATGTATATATGACTTTTTTCTCTTGTAGTCAACTGAAAGTAAAAGATACTAGAACTTCATGCAGTCGTGACTCATTTGCAGTTTCCTTCAGATATTTTCCCAAATTTGTATCAGACGTCATTTTATTGCAGCATGAGTTGCTAGCTCGTCTCCCTTTGAGTTGCTAGCTTGTCTCCTCACTGTGTGTGGCAGCATGGAAGCCTGAAAAGGATCAGTGCTAAATTAAAGGAGGCTGCGATGGAATAACAAAGGATTCAAGGAGGCTTTGCCTGGAGGGGCATTCAGTCTGGGTCTTGCTGGATGAGTAGGAGCTCTAAGGAGGGGGTGTGAGCCCCACACACAGGGCTCTCAAGCCAGGCCTTGCTCTGGCCCCCGCAGACTGTGTGCCTAAAAACCGCCCTGCAGAGGCCCCACCCTGGACAGGTACATCCAGGTGCTGGATAGGGCTGGGGAGAAGAATGCATATCAGCCAGGCATAGGTGCCAGTCCAGACTGGCCCTGAGCAGTGGCTCCAGTGCCTGGACCGAGGATGGTGGCCATTAACGGGAACTGGTGTCTGCTTGGGGAAACCGAGGCAAGAGGGCGGGCACTTGTCCAGGGCTGAGCACCAGGGAGGCAGGTGAAAGCGGCAGCAGGCCCAGGAGCGGGCCCCTCCTGGCCTGACGTCCTGCAGCTGGGTCCCGCTGCCTCCGGTCCAAACACAGAAGGGCAGTTCCGTCCTGTGTTCGCGGCGGTCCATACCCTCCGCCAGGCTATGCCTGGCCTTGCTGTGCGAGTGGTGGTGCTCAGACCTCTGTCTTCAACCTCACAGAAATGGGTGAATCTCGTGACTTAATTTCTCCTCCATCGTCCATGCACCGGCTCAAGAGAAGCGCCCGACACACAGGCTCTGCAGTTAGCTTTTGTGAAGCAGGTTCGCACTGCCCAACATCGAAGTGCTGCAGATTTAGGCACGAATCACTCAAGACTGTCCACAGCGTCCCTCTCTGCTCTGTTTCTACAGTATTACTGTTGCGGGAATGCCATGATGCTTCAAATCAGAGTAACTTTCTTTAAAGTTTAAACACAACTGTGAATACTTGCATACTTTACAGTCTTTAGAAGAGAATAAAAACAAAATAAAACTGTCGCAGTTATATAGATGCACACAAAGAAGTATGCATATTCATTGCTGCATTATTTCTAACAGAGAAATTATAAACAATGTACACGGCTATCGTTATGTGGGGAAGTTGTGGCAATCTCATAAACCCTAGTGATGCTCATCATTTAAAATAACAAATCAGTTCACACAGAACAACAAGGTCACATTACTAGGGCAATGCCAGGTACAAAGAACCCTTATAAAACGATGCGTACAATCTATACAGTAAGCCAATCTATACATTTTAAAAGCACATCAGATGCGTACACATGCAGAAAGTGTGTAACAAACCACAGCCCGAGTGAAGGCCCTGGGCCCAGTCCGCCACACAAATCCTGAACATAAAGTGCCGGTGACCGTCTCAGACTGGGATTTGGGGAAGGCAGAGTGAGGTGGAAGTTGGCAGGGCAAGGGAGCTTCAGTTGCATCTGCACTATTTTTTCTAAAAAACAAACAAAAAAGCCAAGAGCTGAAACAAACACCACAGAATGTGAATGTTAATTAAATCAAGGTGAAATTTCCGATCTTTTTATTTCTATTTAATCATACTGATGATATAAAATGATACAGAGTGCATGCAAATGCCAAAGCATAACTAAAGTTTCCATTGTGGCTTTTATTAGATTTTAGTGCCTCCCAGCTAGTTAAGGACAGGTGGGGGATGTTAAGGCCCTGTGCATGGAGGACCTGCGCTGTTGTTTCCATGGTCGCCCACTCTGACGCAGGGAGGCAGCGGCGTGGACTCTGAGCTTGTGTGTCCATGTTCCGGCCAGAGCAGTAGTGGCCTAGGGCACATGGTGTCAGCGGGAGTCATCGTCCCCATGCAGGCCTTCATGTGTTGCATATTTTGCTCAAAAGTAAAAATCTCTCTTGCCTTCCTGGAAAATTCCCCAGCATGGTGCCCGGCGTGTATTTCCAGGCTCTTCTGATGAAATTATGCATTTATTTAGGGTGTTTTGCTTGGCGGATTTTCTCAGCAAAGCAACTAATGGCTCCCAGGAGTCTGGGGATGGACTGTGCTTTGGATGCGGCCTTGCTGGTGCCTCTCACATCCTGGGACTGCTGTTCCTGTCATGCTGAGGTGGGCGGGCGAGTTCAGAACTTGAGGCAGAACTGACTGGGACAGCGACCCTTGACTCAGAAGTGCAGCTGAGGTTAGACACACCATTGACCACGTTATGACCTAAGTATGGTGTATTACGTGTAAGAATCAACAAATTAGTGCTGTCGGTTGTCTATAGTGTAACTGGAGAGAAATTTCATTGGCTGGAGTGCAAATGTTTGCAGTAGAGGCATTTTCAGTACTTCAGTTCAAGGTTATTTAACATTGCTGAGATTATCCAATGTGAAGTTCATCCACCCTTTATCACCTATTGCGTATGGTGCATTGCTGGGTCTGAGCGCTAAAGTGAGGGCCCAGACAATGCTGCTCACTTCCAACTGTCAATGCCTAGGAGGTCACAGGGTCTGTATGCATGGGGTGTTGACCGGCACCTGGCCTGGTGGTTGGAGGTCAGGGGAGGACTTTTGGGAATGGGGTGCACACTAGTCTGCGTTTGCAGCCTGGAGGAGGAGTCCAAGAGAGGAAGAGGTGCATAGAAAGGCCAGGGACAGGAGAAAGCACACCCTGGGCCACTCGTGAGTTCATCTGCTTGGCTTGAAGAGTCCCCATCTATAGCTGGACCTCGCAGGGACTCCTAGTCCACACAGCAGAGAGTAACACTGGACATCCCATGTCTGGTCCTGGACCTGACCATCTGTTCAGGGCCCCACCCCCAGACCTATTACGATTTCTAATTGCATTTCCAAGACATTCCGATGACGTGACCACTTGGCCAGGCCAGGCTGCTGCTCCGCTGGACACCCTGACACCTGCATGCAGCATTGCCCATGTGGGCACAGGAGGCAGGAGAGACATGCACGGGCATCACAGCTGCCAGCCGAGCCCCAGTGCAGCCACAGGAGGCCCCTCGTGTGTAGCACTGTGCTGGCTCCTTGTGGGGGGGCACCTCGGCCTCCTTAGCCCCTTACTCTGGTGCCAAGCACTGAGCCGGCCTGTAGTGTGCACAGCCAGGGCACACAAGTGAGGCGCTGACTGCCACCCAAACTCTCGGGGTGGCAGAGGGGTTCCCAGTGACGGGAGCTCCAGGCCAGCCTGGGCTATGGAAGGAGACCTTGCCTCAAAAAAAAAAAGGTTATAGTAAAAAATATGGTGCTGCAATGTGTAAGAACTGTAAATATATCTGTGTACATTTGCACGACATATTCACATTTGTGTAGCACAAGAACCTCACACACTTCTTTTGAACTTTGTCTCGCAGGAGAAGAAAACCTGCTTGCCATTCTACGCCACAGATGGTGGAAGTACATGGTCCTGGGCCTCATCGACCTGGAGGCCAACTACCTGGTGGTGAAGGCGTACCAGTACACCACGCTGACCAGCATCCAGGTACCACGCCCACCTGGGCTGCATCCCTCTCTCATTAATTGTTCTTAATGCGAGCGTAATTAAACAGCTTTTTCCTCTTTGTTCTGAATGTGCCACGGTAATCATTGATACTGTAGGAAAATAATTGATGGCTTTGAAGGTTGCCAGCCAATCTCATGTCAGCAGAATTATTAATAAGTGTAAAAATAAATTATTTTCATCACAATTTTTTAGAATGTTAATAGACTAAGTAATTGAGCTGCTTTATAAGTTTATCTTTTAGCTTATTTTTAATGTGTAAACTTCAGAATTTGAAGGAAAAGATGAGGGACAAAGGTAAAACTCCTAAAGTGCATCTTGCGTGAAAATAGCTGTGGATTCTGACTTTCTCCCTCTCGCCTCCTCCTCCTTCCCTCTCCTCCTCCTCCTCTTCCTCCTCCTTTTTCTTCTCCTCCCTCTTCTTCCTCTTTCTCCCTCTCCTCTTTCTTTGTCTCCATCCCCTCTGTCTGTCACACACACAGCAGGAGCACATGCACACGTACACACAAATGCAAGTTTCACGTAGTTTTTCAAAACTCCCAGGGATGTCTATTCTTCATTGTACATGTAAATGATAAGTTTTCCTGCATTTTTCTTTATTTATCACCCTCATTTTTCTTTGTACTGAAATATTACAAAGTTCATAGCCATTCCAAAGCTCTAGAAAAGATAAACAAAACATATTAGATGTAGCTTAGATTCAATACTTCCACACAATTTCTGCCATCCTGTTACTTTCCTGGGACCAATAACGAAAATGGATAAACAAGCAAACGGAGCACCTGAATAAATTTGAAGCTTACAGACCAGATGATCTAACCCTAATCGGACTTTCCTCTGAAGTCTCAGTCTGCTTTACTGCTGTAATGGGGTACCTGAGGTCAGGTGATTCGTAATGACTGGCACTGCATCAGCTCCAGTTCTGGGGGCCGGAAACTCACCATGGAGGGGCGGTGTGCAGCAGAGCTTCCTGCCGTCTCCCTCCTAGGCAGAGGTGCGAAGCGAGAGGCCAGAGTGGGCAAACGCAGCCTTGGATGGGCACCAGCTCTGCTGCCAGCGTGGAAGCCTGGCCTGGCATCGCTCCTCATCCACCTCTGAGGGCAGTGAGGCCGAGGCTGGGCAGGAGGGTGTGCGGCCCAGGAGAGGAGGAGACAGGGCTGTCCCAGGACCGTTCCTTCTGCGTGCGAGCCCCTAGAAGGCGCAGCAGTGAGCCGGCCTGCAGGTCACCCTGCAGCGCTGCAGCATCCAGCTAGGTGGGCGGCAGGGCCAGGGCAGCAGTGAGGAGCCTGCCTCCTGTCAGTCTGCTCTTCTTGCTCTCTCCTGGACGAAATCCTCCGGGGCGGAACTCGGAGCCTCGGGCTTGGACATTTCCCTCCAGTTTTCAGAGCTACACTTGTTCCAAAGTTGGCTTTCTTAGTTCTACTTTTTCCTTTCTCATCTCTTCCTCTGTGGAAAAGAAATTCCCCAAACATTCCTTTTGGTTAAAAAAGTATTTGGGCCGGCTTGTTTGCAGTATCTCTTTGCTATATATCATCCGTGGTTCTCAGCAAGATTTTAAAGATCTTAAAAGCAGGATTGCGGCTTCTTTGGCATAATTTATAAATCATCCTGATACAGCATAGTGCATAAATTAGCAGTAAGACATAAATGCATCAAATATTGACATGGTGAACCTCTCGCCATAAGAACCCTTATTAACATTTGCTTTGCTTTTTTAAAAAGACCAGATCTCCAAGAAAGCACACATGCATGAGACAGCTCCAAGCTCCAAAGGGAGAAGGGCAGCACTCCTGCCCTTGGTAGTGGCGGTTGTCTGGGTCTCGGTGCTCAGACACCGTACAGTGGACCTGTCAGAGAAGCCCCAGTCACGTGAGCACTTCACACAGTCTACATCCATCAGATGGCTTTCACGAGCTGGGTGCATTTACACAAGGTACACTTTAAAGCCTTTTAAATGGTTTCAGCGGTAAATATACTGAGAAAAATTACAGAAGCCAAGTTCCCGGGGAATGTTCTCTTTGTGAACATCAATGCCATTGATTCAGTAAAATCAGTAACCTGGAGTTGCTTCAGGAAAAGTAGCTTTCTCTCCCCACATCTCCTTTCCTTTGTCTTATTTTTCTTTAGTTTGAAACAAGGTGTAAGGATGAGCTGTCTTAATACAGTGCTCCATAAACACCTTAAGTTTCACACACACACACACACCATTGCATTTATGTTCTAAATGCTTTGACCAAGCTTTTCGTAGGACTGGGAATATCCCTCTCTCCACTAACCCTGCCCTGGGCCCTTTGCACACCCAGAATGCCTGCAGACCTGATGGAAGAAAGCCCACCTGAGACCACCTTTGAAGATAAGAACTTCATTGGCTCTGATAACTGGGCCATCTAGAAAAGGGGTAGTCAGCCTGCAGGGTCCTTGGTCACGTCTTTAGGAGTCACGAGGGCTCAGTTTCCATCTTCCCCTGACTCTCCTGCTGGCTCTATCCTGTCAGGCGCCTCTCCGGTCATACCATGATGCCAGGGCAGTGGGGCTGCCTGCTTCTTTGTGACCAGTGCTAGACAGAAGAGGTGTTGCCCACACCACCCAGCAAGAGTCCATGCTAATTGCTAGAGGAATGCTGCGAGCTCATTGGCTTAGACCTGGACTCTGTGAGCCAACAGGGAGTGAGATTTTTCTCCTTGGTTTAGACAGCTGTTTCTTTATAGGCTACCACTGACATATGAGTGGGGCAGCCACCAGTCCCAGAGTCAGGAGGGCATCAGTGCCAGGAATCACATTTCCGTCACCCGAGGAAGGAAGGCGAGGCAGATGGGTGCAGGAGGACCAGCCAGTGTGTCCGCACCCACTTTAGCCGCCCTCACTCCCACGTCCCAGAGACTCCATGATGAGAACGGATTCCCCTCCCTCATGCTGTAGTGTTGCTCTGGCTTTTTACCCAAGAACAGAGTTCACGTGTTCCCATCTCCTCACCAAGCTGTGAGGAGATCTTTCATAGCAAGGACAGAGTCCTGTCCACCTTGGGATCTCTGGTGCCAGGTAGAGAACCCAGCACATCCAGATAATAAATGTTTAAGGAGGCTGTGGATAGATAAACAGGAAGAGCACAGTGTTGGCAAATGACCAAGCTGGTCCAGGAGCCGAGAGGCAAACCTGAGAGGCCCAGGGGAAAACAGGAGTGATTTCCTCCTGAGAAATATATTTGAGTTTCTCTTTCCATTTCTTTCTCTTTCATTCTGTGGAGCATTGAAAAAAATCACAACCTCTCGCTGGTTTCTTAATTTCTGCGACTTTTTTCCAGAACACTTTTCCTAGGTTGTGTGTATGAAGGCACAGTGACGTTCTGTTCTCAGATCCAGCCCCACGCCTTGGTGCGGGCTGTACAGACCTTCGTCCTCCCTACTTATCCAGCCTTCTGCCTCTCAGAGTAGCCTGTGCACACCCTGTTGAATGCCACATTCTAGGAAAATGTCTGACTCTGTAGTATGACAGAAAAATTAAAATTCCAGTGGAACATCAATTGATCTTTATTGAACAAAGGAATGTGGGGAAGTAAAAGAACAAACTGACCCTAACAGTTCTGGAACTATACTATAAATAAACCTATTAAATAATAATAAATGGTCTGAACATCAGGCTTGTGCTCCGGGGGCTGTATATGTATTACCGTTTAGTAATTTAATTCCTTTTACTTATTGCAAGCCAGCAAAGCTAAGAAGAACTGGCGACGGTTGTCCCTCCTTTCTAGGGACATGGAGCACATAGCAGGTGCTTTAGTCAGCTCGATCGGTAGGTGAGGTCCCCTCGCTACGAACAAGGAAACCACTGCTTACTGCAGAAGCAAGCAGGCCTGGTGCTCTGGGAATGCGTGGGCCGGGAGAGAGAGGAGGACTCGGTGTTCGGCGTCAGGCTGAGCCCTGCAGGGGCAGACCCCACATGAGATGGCTCCCTGGAGGCAGGAATAGTGATTTGCCGAGTGGAGAAAGTGTCCATTCCGTGCGTCTGGGTAAGATGTGGGGAGCAGAGGACGTGGGTTGCTCGGCCAGCACCCGGACTTCTTGTGCTGAACACGCGGTGCTGGTGACAGTCACTCTGTGAGCTTCGGTGGTCCACGAATCATCCAGCAATGCGCCGCGAGGGTTAGGCATAAACACTCTGAAGCTCCCCGAGGTTCCAGTGGAGCCTTTGTCAAAACCTCACAACATGGCCGGGGTTTGGGAAGGTTTCCCTGAAACGGAGCGAGGGGCTGAGACCCAAGAGGGCAGCTGGGGTGGGAGACGACATCTGACGAGAGGCGGACACGGCCAGGCCCTGGGCAGGTGGACCACGGCAAGGACCAGGCCCTGACCCAGACCGCGTGGCTGTGCAAGGGGCTGGGAGCTCGGAGTTCAAGACTGGCAGGGCGGCAGGCACGCAAGCGGTGTGACAGCTCGGTGTCAGAGATGGCGCTGGTCGGGGTGCAGGACAGTGCACAGGTGGACTCACAAAGGCAGCGGAGCCACCGCCAGGCCCGGCCGCGCCCCGGTCTCCCATGCCCAGATGAAATGCGACCGCGCTTCCAGGAAAGGAGCCTGGGGGGCAGCAGAGGAGTGGATGTGGCGGAGCACATGGAGCTCAAAGAGGGCTTCAGCACCATAGCGCGGGGCAGGCTCGCATTTCCTGGTGCTCTCAGAAGCGGAGACGGAAATAGAGCCGGAGCCGCTCTTTACCCTCCGACCGGCAGCCCGGCATGGTCTTGGCAGAAGGCCAAAGTGACTGAGAAGCTTGAGAGGAAAAGATGCTTGGGACGTGATTATTTCCTCACGGGAAATCTCGGAAGGGCATCCCGTCCTTTGGGATCTCCACACAGCTTTCCCCGGCAGTGACATTTTCTAAGGCTTTGGAGTAATATCTGCAGGTGTTGACGCTGACGCGGGGTTGTCAGCCCCACTGCAGGCCTTGGCCATGGAGTCAATTTTCATCCGCTTGGGCCTTCGTGTGCA